GGCACATTTAGCCACATTCGGCCCGATTACGGACCATAAGGGCTGCATGGTCTGATTTTGGCAGAGATATGGGCATGCAGACCCGGACCAGTTTAGGTTGAGTGCTGGGGGTAGGTCTCCATTTACAATGTGCTAAATAGTATGTAGCAGTGACACTTAAACTTAAACATCTTTTACCTGCCCATGTTATGGTATGTGTTAGTGTATTTTTTATTTGAATTCCTATTCATATTTTTTTCCTTTTATCCAACATTCTCTTTTTTCTTTAACTACATTTGGAAATTAATTATTTAATTCATATAATGAAACAAGCTTAAAGTGGTTGAGGGAACTTTAACATTATTTTTGCTATATGAGTTTCAAGACATGGGCACTAGTTTTGACATCTAATGAAAAATCCTGACGGACTTTTTGTGCTGCTAATTGCCAGAAGACCAGAAGAACTTAATACACTGGTGAGTAAACATTTGATAATCTAACATCTAACATTATATTTTAATAAACCGTTCTATACATATAATATCAAAGTAATGTTTATTTATAATGAAGCTATAATTGTGAGTTTGCTGACATAAGCTGCGTCCGAAATCGCATACTTCCATACTATATAGTAGGGGAAAAACAGTAGGCAAGGCCAGTAGTATGTCCGAATTTATAGTATTCGAAAAACAGTAGGCGAGGCGAGTAGTATGTCAGAATTTATAGTATTCGAAAAACAGTAGGCGAGAAGTACCCGGATGACCTACTACTTCCGTCCGAATTCCGTAGCATGCATACGATGGACACTTTACTATCCCATGAGGCCACGGGGGAGGAGGCGTCATATTCGAAAATGGGGAAGGCGGCGACGCGGCTCTTTTCAAGTGTAAGTACCTCAGGGAAAAACATTGTTCATTGTGGTTAAATTGCATTTGTTTAACATGATCTAAGTGAACGGCTGACTTATTGAAAGTTTAAACATTGTAAGTCGATGAGATGATTTTGTGAATTGGCTGTAAAAAAGATGTTTAATAATAATAATAATAATTAGTTATATAGCGCTTTTCTAGGCACTCAAAGCGCTTTACATTGTCAGGGGGTATCTCCTCATCATTAATCATTGTTATTACTGAGCACATCAAGTTAATGAACAGATCGAGCTAGTGTCAATGCTGTTGTACATCAGCTTGTTAACTGCTTTTTTAACGGATACATTTGTTGTTAAGCAGTTTAATGAGATTAGAAAATTCCACGGACTTTAAAACATTTTTTCCCCTCTTTTACTAATATTTTGTTGATATTTTGTTAGCTACGTACTAAGCTACTGTTAATAAATATGCCACAGCTTGTCAATGTAGCATTAATGGCTTGATAATGACTAATGGTTACTGCTTTGACATTACAGGGACTGATGAACACACTCAGCTCCTTATTCAGTGGAGAGTGGCTAATGAAGCCCTCTTCACTGGAAACCGTAATGCTGCCATCAAAGATTTTGAGTAAGTAAACGAGTTATGTAAAATGTACTTTTATTTAGGTGCTGTTGACTCTGAACTTAGTAAATACTAACATTTCAAGCAAAGATCTTTGCATTTATTGTGACAGATCTTTTGTGACAGAGCAGTGACTTGAGGGCAAAATTTCTGCCGCTCAAGTCAAAAAAGAAAGTGGGAGAACCTAAAACAGAAATATAAAGTAAGATTTTTTTTTAATTAGTTCACCCCAAAATTTTTATTAGTTCATGATTTGATCATGCTAATGTTTTTCCATGTCATAGTAATGCAGTAATCTAATGAATGTAATTGACTGTCTTGATATTGTGCTTTTCAGACCCGGGATATCCAACAATGTGAGGAAGGTGAGTCGCCCGCCGTGTGAGGAGAGCGAGTCGCCCGCCATGTGAGGAAGGCGAGTCGTGGCAAACTCAGTAGCTCCTGGCAATAGTATAGTGACTTCCCGCAACAAGTTATTAGTCTTATTTTTGGACCGGAAGGCCCGCCATACCCATAGTGCTATAGTTTAGCTCCAACCATAATCAAGCACACCTGATCCAGCTAATCAAGGTCTTCAGGATTACTAGAAACTTCCAAGCAGGTGTGAGTTGGAGCTAAACTCTGCAGAGCTGCGGCCCTCCAGGCATTGAGTTTAACGTCTATAGAATTGCGACTGATCTCTTTCTTTTTTTTTTTTTCAATCAGTGCAAAGAAATGCAAGTACTGGCAGTGCATCAGATGGAGAGATTGAAAAGTTCATCAAAGATGGCTGCTGCTCACTTTGGATAGAGATGGGGGAAGAAAAGAGTGGGCCAGAATGGAAACAAATTCTTCCGAAGGTATGTTCCAAATGTTAACATTTACCAGAGTTACCATTCATGTTATCACTCTGAGATTATCTGAATAACCAAATGTGTCATTGTCTCTTCACCTTTTTGTCTCTCTTTCTGTCAATATGTCCCTCTTTTAGGGTACGCTTACTTAAATGGGTCCTATTATGCGTTTTCACTTTTTCAACTTTAGTTAGTCTGTAATGTTACTGTTTGAGTATAAAAAAAGATCTACAAAGTTACAAAGTTCAAAGTCCACTTCAATAAGGAGATATTTTATTTAACAGATCTCACTCTTCAGTTTTCAACTACAACGCATATTTTCTGGGATTTGTGATATCACAAATATTGACGAATGGGATGAGACCTGGTTGAGCTGCACTAGAGAAGGCAACGAGTGTTATCACTATGTCGGAGACACGCTAGCTTTCCCAAGGCAGACGAACTTAGATTGGTTACAATCATCTGGGTTTAAATCGCTCTCAAATTGACTTGATTTTGATGCAATATTTACACTAAAGCTGGCAGGCAGCTATGGTAAGGGGCATGATATTTCCCGACCATGCGCAGAGTGAGCCAATCACAGCACACACTGGCCCAGCTAACCAATCACAGCGCACGCTGGCCCAGCTAACCAATCACAGCACACACTGGCCCAGCTAACCAATCACA